ATGGCTATCCTATATTATACAGCTAATAACCTTTTATAAATGAAAATATACCAAGCCTGTCTTTCTGTTTCTGGGTTACCTCACTCAGGGTGATCTCTTCTAGTTCCATCCATTTGCCTGCAAATTTCATGATCTCCTTGTTTTTAATAGCTGAGTAGTATTTCATTGTGTAGATGTACCATAATTTCTGTATCCATTCCTCCGTTAAAGGACATCTAGGTTGTTTACAGATCCTGGCTATTACAAATAAAGCTGCTATGAACGTAGTTGCACAAATGTCCTTATTGAATGTTGGGGCATCTTTTGGGTATATGCCCAGGAATGGTATAGCTGGATCTTTAGGTAGCATTATTCCTAATTGTCTGAGAAAGCACCAGATTGATTTCCAAAGTGGTTGTACAAGTTTTCACTCCCACCAGCAATGGAGGAGAGTACCCCTTTCTCCACAACCTCTCCAGCATGTGTTGTCAGTTGAATTTTTGATCTTAGCCATCCTGATAGGTATAAGATGGAATCTCAGAGTTGTTTTGATTTGCATTTCCCTGATGACTTAAGGATGTTGGGCATTTCTTTAAGTGTTTCTCTGCCATTTGGTATTCCTCTATTGAGAATTCTCTGTTTAGTTCTATACCCCATTTTTTAATTGGATTATTTGGTTTGTTGAGGTCTAATTTCTTGACTTCTTTATAAATTCTAGATATTAGCCCTCTCCTGGGTGTAGGGTTGGTGAAGATCTTTTCCCAATCTGTAGGCAGTCATTTTGTTCTGATGACAGTGTTCTTTGCTATACAGAAGGTTTTCAGTTTCATGAAGTCCCATTTATTAATTGTAGATTTTAGAGCCTAAGCTATTGGTGTCCTGTTCAGGAAATTGTCTTCTGTGCCTAAGAGTTGGCTCTTCCTAATTTTTTCTTCCAACAAATTTAGTGTGTCTGGTTTTATGTTGAGATCTTTGATCTACTTGGACTTTAATTTTTGTGCAGGGTGATAGATATGAATCTATTTGCATTTTTCTACATGTGGACATCCAGTTAGACCAGCACCATTTGTTGAAGATGCTGTCTTTTTTCCATTGCATGGTTTTGGCATTTTTTTGTCAACAATCAGGTGTCCATAAGTGTTTGGATTTATTTCTGCATCTTCTATTCAATTCCGTTGATCCACCATTCTGTTTTTATGCCAGTACCATGCAGTTTTTATTATTATTGCTCTGTAGTACAGTTTGAGATCAGGGATGAAGATACCTCCAGAAGATCTTTTATTGTAGAGGATTGTTTTAGTGATTCTGGGTTTCTTGTTATTCCATATGAAGTTGAGAATTTTTCTTTCCAGGTCTGTAAAGAATTGTGTTGGTAATTTGATGGGAATTGCATTGAATCTGTAGAATGCTTTTGGTAAAACAGCCATTTTTACTATGTTAACCCTGCCTAGCTATGAGCATGGGAGATCTTTCCATCTTCTGATATCTTCTATTTCTTTCTTCAGAGACTGAAACTTTTTTTCATACAAGTCTTTGACTTGCTTGGTTAGAATTACACCAAGGTACTTTATGTCCTTTGTGGCTATTGAAGGGTGTTGTTTCCCTAATTTCTTTCTCAGCCCTTTTGTCTTTTGTATACAGGAGGGCTACTGATTTTTTTTTTTTTTTTAGTTGATTTTGTATCCAGCCATGTTGCTGCAGGTGTTTATCAGCTGTAGGAGTCCCCTGGTAGACTATCCTCTGCAAATAGTGATACTTTGACTTCTTTCTTTTTAAAATGAATCTCCTTGATCTCCTTTATTTGTCTTATTGCTCTAGCAATGACTTCAAGAACTATGTTGAAGAGATATGGAGAGAGTGGGCAGCCTTGCCTTGTCCCTGAGTTCAGTGGGATTTCTTTAAGTTTCTCTCCGTTCAGTTTGATGTCAGCTGTAAGCTTGCTGTATATTGCCTTTACTATGTTTAGGTAAGTGCCTTGTATCCCTGATCTCTCCAGGACTTTAAACATGAATGGGTGTTGGATTTTTGTCAAATGCTTTTTCAGCATCTAAGGAAATGATCATGTCGTTTTTTTTTTCTTTCAGTTTGTTTATATGGTGAATTATGTTGACAGATTTCCATATACTGAACCACCCTTTCATATCTGGGTGAAGCCTACTTGGTCATAGTGGATGATATCTTTGATGTGTTCTTGGATTTGGTATGCGAGTATTTTGTTGAGTGTTTTTGCATCAATGGTCATAAGGGAGATTGGCCTGAAATTCTCTTTCTTTGTTGGGTCTTTGTGTGGTTTAGGTATCAAGGTGACTGTGGCTTCATAGAATGAGTTTGGTAATATTCCTTCTGTTTCTATTTTGTGGAATAGTTTGAAGAGCACTCGTTTTTTATTGATTTAAATTTTGATACTGAGTATCAAATATATGGTCCAATGCCTGCTAACCAAGCCTCGTAGCCACGAACTATGCCCTTAGGCCATCAGAGCTTGTTGTAAGCCATCCTTTCCTCAAGGACTACTTTCTTTGCCTCCTCTTTCCTTCCCGCAGCTTGGGTCTTTTCCTTTGTGGGAAGCATTTCACCTTAAGCGCTCTCCTGTTTAGCGCTTATGCTCTGAAAGGCAAAGCCTATGTTAGCTCTCTACAGTTCTGTATCCCCAGTGTTTATTGTGATGAACACATTATGTGCTCACTAAGTATTTGCTGGCTGCACAAATTAACAGTGGGATCATGTAATCATGGCATATAGTTTGAGTCAGTGTTTTTTGAGTGAAAATGAACAGTAAAAGGAAGAATAGGAGCCCATTGCACATACCAAGGCACTCAACCCATTTAAATGGAAATAATGAATTGTCATGGATAGTTTTGCTTTCTTTCATAACTCCTAAATGGGCTTTTAAGTGTATATTTCATGCAAATAACACAGGTGACTGGATTATTTTCAGTGACTTAATGTGAGTTGAAATAATGTCTCTGATATACTATTCTATTTTTCTGTTAACATATTTTAGCTATTTTCAACTTACTTGGCTAGGCATTTGATTAACAGAAGGGAAAAAAAAAGTTGGATTAGGTGTAATTAACACCTTTGATAGCCTTATTAATCTCCAGTGTACCTTAAGCATATTAAGTATACGTGTATCCTAAATATGACTGCTTAGACTTTGAATTTTCTACAAGAGACACAGCTCTGAGTCTTACAAGGGATAGAAAACATGCTTCTTAGTTAGAGTAATGGTGCTTTTCCATAAGCAGTAGAGACACAAGTGTGAATTTCTGTGACAGAACACATTGTCAGTGAGGAAAACATCTATTGCTTTGTGAGTCTCCTGAAACTGCCTTCTCTAGACATGGACTCCATTTCCTGTGAAATAACAACTTCTACTTGAACGCAGCACTTCAGTTTCTCCATATGCCTGTGTCTAAACTAGTCAGTGCTTAATTGTATGGATTTGAAACTCCTCTGTGACATCTAGGACAATCTACTGGGGTGGCAGCAGAGGTGGGGTGTGGGTATCCTCACTAAAGGTCCAGAGTATGTGTATAGGCTTGTGTTATGACCTGTGAAAGCAAGAGGCTCTTGTCTGTGCTCAGCTCTCAGCAGCTGTGGGACTTGCACAAAAGGGCATTAAGGATCTGTCAACACTGTCCTTTCAACACATTGTATCTTCCGAGTTTTCGAGAGGTTAGAAAGATACCCAAGTTTTGTGTGAAATCTTTTAAGTTCTGAACTATGACAATTAGTATATTGGTTTTTGAAATTTTCTGTGGGAAACACAAAAAGTTATGGGCTGAGTTTTATTACTGCCCACTAGATTGTGAACTCTGGCCAATCTTTCAGCTCTCCAGGTCCATACAGCAGGTATCTGTTTTTGCTGTTGTTTCAAACATCCTTTATATGGTTGGACTTGACCTTTTATGTTCTGAACATAGCTAGCTAGTCTCTTGCCTATGGCTCAAGCTTTCCCAGTGATACCCATGGCTACTTCATCCTGCATCCTGCCTATCCAGTGAGATCAGCCTTGGTCTTCAGAGCAGAAGTCTCTTCTAGCTACTCCAGTCTCCACTTGGTACTTTGATGCTGGAGAGTCACACAGCCATTGCTCTTTGTGGCTGACCCCAGAGCCTGAGTCTTTTTCAGGGCAAAAACTGAACCCTATTCTGTCATAACACGACGTAGATACTCTGGCATGGACAAAACCATGGGCTGGCGTGTCTGTGTGTAACACTACTGCTCTTAAGTGCTTTTCATGGCAACGTGCTGGATCTGGACAAGTCCGACTTTAGAAACTATTTGCTTATTTCAGCTCACCCTCCTCCTGGCCTTGGTCATTCTTGGACATTGATCTTGTCTTCTCTTGTCCACTAGGACCTTGGTATTGAATGAGGGCTTTGGCCCTGTATCCTTTCTTGAGTATCTAAATTTTAACATGGTTTGTGGTAGGAAGCAGCACACTCCCTTAAGAATAGAGATATGTGTATGTGTGTGTGCATGTATGTATTATGTATGTATGTATTCATAGATGCATGCATGTAGCTTCTTCCCCATCAGGTTCCAGAGTGTTTTATCAGTAGGAACTTCTCTGCTATTTTTTTCTTCTAAATCTGCTCTGCCTTGAATGTCTGCTTCCGTAACCACTAATAAACATTTCCTGCATTTGAGATCACATGTTTTGCTTGATGTTACATCTCTTTAGAGACCCACAGCATTGTTTTTTCCTTCCAAACAATCACAAGTATAATTATTTGCACATTAAGTTTAAAATCTCATAATAGGTTATAATGCTAAGATTCATCACTTCTTCCTAGGTTGTTTTGAATATTGTGACACCCAGCTGTAAAAACAAAAGTACATGCAGGTTTAAAATTAACTTTCCTAGATGGGCCTTTGAGACTGGAGCATCTTATTATTATTTTCTAATGCACTGGGAGGAGAATTCTGTGCCCAGCTGTTACCAGCTGACCACAGTGCCCACCACTGACTCTGCATATCCTTCCTTTTATCGCTGCTGTTCTTGTGTGTTCCAGGTGCTGTGATACTCCTGGGAAGAACCAACATGTTCCGCTTTAACCATCCGAAGGAAGCTGCCAAGCTCAGGGAGAAGAGGAAGGTGAGGGCCTGGATGCAGAGCCCAGGTGGGGTGGGGTTGTCTTCTGGGTTTCTACCACTTCACTTTCTGTGACTAAAGCCCCTGGAAAGGAAGTTCTGAATCCAGGTGTGTTCTAGGCACTTTGTTCCTTGATGGATGATGGAGTAGGAGAGCCTGAGCTCACAAGAAAAAGCTGTTTCTTCTTAGATCCTTCTTTCTAGTCTACACATCCCCAGAGGAGCCAGGCTTTATGTGGCATAAGTGAGCAGTGACTTGCATCTACCAGAATTTGTCTAAGTCACATAGTACTTTCCTTCTATCTCAAGTCAAGCACAGTAAACTGGGATTTTCACCTGGGTGGAAGGCCATGTGGGGTTGGGTGGGTGGGTCATTCAGAAGTCTGTTAGTGCTTGATCATGGAGGAAGGCTGAATCTCTCAGAAAGAGAGGAACATTGAGTGAAAAGGAAAGAAGGCTGCACCATGGCCTTTCCTTAGAATTCTGAAGACAGGGAAAACTGCAGCTTGCATTTTCATGAGCTAGGAGTTGTGCTGAACTTAGGCAGATATTCTGCCATGTTATCATACAGCAGCTGTTACCACCCTAACTTACAGGTAATTGAGTAGAAAATTAGACTAAGACAGACTCTCTGTAACAGACCCTGAGGGCAGCAGGTGGGTAACCAGGCCCACAGCCCTGACCTGCAACCCTGAGGCCTATGTTCTAACCACCAAGTGACATAGCATCTTATGGCACTGCTTGCTACAAGACCTTTGATGGAAAATGAGAACAAAGCTACACCTCTCAGGGTAATCCAGGGTTAATGATCCAGCCAATAAATCTTATTGCCCATTCCCGCTCAGGGCCCCCCTAGGTGGTCCATTTTAGACATGGTTCCAGAGAGACGTAAGGAAAACCTGTCTGCCAATAGCATTCATTGGCAGCAAATAGACCAGTTCCTACCTTTATAGCTTCTCCTCACCTATCCCTTTATTTCTGTTATTCATGTAGAGGGCAGCAGAAGTATAATTTCTAACTTCCACCCAGACTTGAGTGCAGTGTAGCTTAGAGGCTTTGTGAGCTGTGGAGTGCCTGGTGGATTTCCATTGTTAAGTATTTCTGGTGTATAGGGCACTGTCTCTCATCTGCCCGGTACTAAGCACTCATGTGAGTGTGCATCTCATTGCCTGTCACTAGGAGAAGGAAACAAGTGCTGAGCACTGGCCTTCTCAGACCTACTAAGGTAACCATTCTACCTTGTGTCTGCTGTCAGAGTGGCCTCCTGTCCTCCTTCAGCTTGTCGATGACCGACCTCTCAAAGTCCTGTGAGAACCTGTCTGCTGTCATGTTGTATAACCCTGGGTAAGTGAGCAGCTGCATGTCTTCCCAGTGATTGTTACTGTGATGGTATTTATGGTGCCAACTACACTGTAGTCCCTTGATGGTAATAAAAACTTGGGCAAGGGCACCTCCTCTGCATATCAGCCACAGTCATTTTCCAAGTTTCTTTCCACCAGACTGTATGTACATAATTATACTTAGTTATAATCACAGTATAAATGGGATTATGTTCTCTGATTTTTTTTTCTTAACAACATAAGCATTAGCAAATATGGTTACAAGCTTCATTATCATTTTCCTAACTGTCTAATATTTTAAGTTGGCACTTTGATTTCCCAGTGCATGATTCCTTTGGCTTAAATGCTTTTATCTTGTTTTTGTAAATTATCTGTAATAACAGAGACAGCTTTGATCTTAGGGCACTCTGTAGCCTAGAGAATTATCTTCACTCGTTCTGACATCAGGAGATCGCTGAAGACACAAACAAGAGTGTTTTAAATGGGTTTAACCCTGGGTGACTTGAGCTGTCAGCCTAAGTGCTAAGGTCTTTGGTGACTTCATCACTCAGATGACAATAATAATGAAAATGTCTGGAAACAGGTGAAAAACTTTTGGGAACTCCCCAGTTTTGAAGTTCCCACTATTTCATGCTTCCCACCGAGAGACTCTAACTAAACTAATAGAGCTGAGAGAGTGAAATGACAGGGGTGGGCGTATCTTCTGGAGCTGGCCTTGATTTAGTGTTTACTCTGTGGCACGCATGGTGCCAAGCCACCTCTCGGTTCTCAGCATCACGGCAGGTTTGGCTCCCCTGTGGGGAACGTGCTGTGCATGTGCTTATGAGTTAGAGCCGTGATGCTGTCCAGGTCTGTCAACTCCCGAACCCTTTTGTCCCTTCATCAGTCCTAATCCTGCTCCATTTGGGAGCCTGACAACCTGACCATGGCCTGTGACTACTCCTTGGGGTCCAGTTGGTCCTCTCCATGGTGGAAAGCAGGTGCTTACACGGAATTGTTGCTTCATCTCTACTTTGTTCCTTGTAGAACATGCCAAAGCCCAGACCTGTATTACTTGAACCAAAAAAAAAAAGAAAGCCAGTAGACACAGGGTCCGTTAACCCCTGACAATCCAAACATCTTATTTTGAGGTATCCAGCTTTGTCTTTACTATGCAGCCTTTCAAATTTCATGTTGTGTAGTTACTGGGAAAAGTTTTACTCGTTGAATAATTCTGTCTTGAACTTAGCCGTGTATCAGTGAGACTCTAAAGTTCAAGAACCCCCTCACAGTTGCTGAATACAAGTTTTCTGAAGACATGAGTGCTTGTGGGTTCTTAGGACCCTGCAGTGGAATTTTCAGCTGCTAGGGGAATCAAACATAGGCTTACATCGTGCAATATAATATGCTGGTGCCTGGCAGCATCGATGCCAACTTCAGTAGGGCTACATATGGTGAGTACTGCTGGTTTAGTCAAATGGCTTGGCTGGGATTTGTAGCCATGCCCAGCTAATCCTAAATCCAGCACCGCCTTCCTCACCTTTTGTGTCATGGTGCCCTTCAGTTTGCTACCATTTGGAAACTTAATGTGGCTGTTTGTAATCTTTGAAAACAAAAAAGGTCATCTCTGCCCAGGCCACTAGCTCTTTTTCTTTTATGTCTCTCTCTCTATATATGCTATTGAGGTTTTTTTTTTTCCTCCACAAAATGCAGACTATGTAGCCATATTAAAATTGATACTATATTTTGTTTGAAGTTCAGTTTTTTCCCAGTATTGATAAAATGTCATCAAAGTGTACCAATTTGCATTCTCATAACTCTTCTTACTCCCATGTCTAAGACCTAAATGTCGCTTCATTGGTTCTCTGTGGTCTAAAAGCAAAAATTTAGCCAGAACCCACTCAGCATTCCCACTACCAGTCTATATCAGCATATCCGGGCATAGCCCGGCAGATCCATTTTAGCACATCTTGGCGCATCTCTGCACATCCCTCTACAACAGCGATTCTCAATCTTGCTAAAGCTGCGATTCCTTAATAGAGTTCCTCATGCTGTGGTGACTCTGATTTATAAATTATTTCATTGCTACTTTATAACTGTGATTTTGTGACTGTTATGAAGTGTAATGGTAATATCTGATACGCAAGATATCTGATATGCAAACACCAAAGGGGTCATGACCCACAGATTGAGAGCCACTGCCATACAAGTTTTGGACTCTTCAGGTTGTGGCTATGATTTAGATATGTCGGAAATAGCCTATGCCAAAGGAGCTGTTTCTTTGTGTGTTCCAAGGTCTCGTTACTTGTTTTTCCTGCCATCTGCTCCTCCAAGGCACCAGGCAGGTAATCCCATTCTGCAGGCTATCCCCAGCTTTCATCAGGCTATCCCCTGTGCAGTGCACGCTGCTGCATTTCTGTCATCACTATTCTGTTATTCCTTGTAGAGACAATCCATCCTTCAGCAAACTCTGAGAACTTCTATTAAGCAGACATGTTTCTAGGACAGGCGTTTGCTATCGCCAGTGGAAGTTTCCATGCTGATTGGAGGAGAGACTCAATTTGCAGAAGACTGAAAGTTCAGAAAGGTGAAATGAGGTTGAATGCCTTTGGGGCATCATCTGGGGGAGTGGTCAGGGAGGATGTCCAGAGTCGGAAATACTTGATCTAAGACTGGAGTGGAGTGATGACAGCACTCTTAAAACACAAGCAGAGAAATGGAAAACATTTCAGACACAGGGAAGAGAACCCACATGCTTCAAAATGAGAAGTGCAAAGTGGACCAGAGGAAGTGGAATCCAGGAAGAAGGGTAATGCAAAGTGAGATGAAGCGTGGGCAGTGGCAGCCTGTGTGGGCCCATGTGGGGCACTGCAGGGAGTGTGTCTTCTAAGAGCACTGGCGAGCATGAGAAGCCTTTGCCTGGGACACCCAAAGGGCATTTACTGTGGACAATGTAGTGTGGAATTAGGGTATCGTGGAGAAAGCTGTTTATTTAGACCATATGAAAGCTGATGGTGGCATGGGTCTGGGCTTTAGCCACAGACTGAAAAATAGAGTCAAAGAACTAAGGTGTAAGGGGAATTTCCAGGTCTCAGGTGCAGACACGTGGGGTAGATATTCCTGAGATGGGCCAGGGAAGATGAGTACAAGTGGACAGATGATAAGAATCTGTTTGCATAAGCATCTTGCTTGTGAGGTTGGAAGTTTTGTGAGGTCAAAGGTCTTGTCTTACTTTATCTCAAAGTATCATGCATTAATAATTTAGCAAATTGCTTCAGATTGAAATTTTAGTAAGATAGCTACTCCTAGGGTGTTGATTGTTTTTTAATTAATTTCCCTGGGCATGGTCATTATACTTATTGGGATATGACATACTGTGCAAAATGATACAGATGCAGTCCCAGAGAAAATGAGAAAGTAAGCAACAGCAGTCAGGAAATCCACATGAGAAGCAGTATGTTTAGGCTGACTTCCACCTGGGGGCTTCTGGAGGCTTTTGATACGAGCATGGTGAATTCACTTCTCCTGGCTTCTGAAAAGAGTCATGTAATACTTGTTGTTACAAATTCAAATAAAATTATTTAATACTTCATCATACCTTCTTTCTCCCTGGCTCCCACCCCCTGCACTTGCTACCTGCTGCAAAGAGTGATTACCCATGAATTAAAATATAATTGAAGAAAACTTGTCTACTCTGACTTATGGGAAGGCAGACACCTCATTATGAAATTGTTGGCTCTAGCAAGCAGGCAAAATGAAGCATAATTAAAGCTATAGCCATGCTGTTTATACCATTTTTTTATGTTGCAGGTATAAATATTCTAGGCATAAATTAGGCTAGAATATTGAAAGAAATATGTTTAATACCGGGGCCCTCATTAAAGAGTTGTTTAATTCCAGATACTACACAGCGTGTACTCAAGAGCATGCTCATTTCTGAGATGGAAACTTGAGACTGTGCTGCTTCCTCCAAGCAGTAGGTACTGTTGAGGGTCTGGCTTCTGTGGAGAGCCTGGGAACATGGGCTTGTCATGTAAATGTATTTAGAGTGAGTGAAAGGCAGCATGCAGTTCAGAGGCTGTGTCTGCAGCCTCCTCTGGGGATCTCTTGGGAAAGAAGTTATGTGGCATGATGTTCCTGGGAAGGGTTTTCTTTCTGGTTCCACACCCCTTTTGGGTGACATAAAAAACCAGAAGCGCTGTGGCTTCTACTAGCCATCGTTATTAGGGTTGATATTACCCGCACCCAGTCCCTCAGAATCTGTTTCAGTCTGATTCATGAGAGCCATGTCTTCTTTTAAGAGACTGAGTATTATTTCCTTGCATTGGCCCAAGTCGCTTGTAGAGTTTAGTTTATTCTCAATGGTATAGAAGCACGTGCCTTGGACTAAATAGCTAGAGTTCTTTCAGGAGTCTGCAGTTAGAGCCCTTCTCCTCTGTAGCTGAGGTCATAAAAATGTTCCCAGCCTGTAGCAAGGGCTTGCTTGGAGAAGAGAAAGACAAAGAATGCTTACTGAAGACAGTCTTCACCATCTACCTTCCAGAAACTCAAAATCACTGCTTTGACTTTGTACCTCAGAAGTCACTCTCTGCTTTCTTGGTGGACTGCATCCTTCTTGGGTCCTGACAATGTTTGCAGAAGGAGACCTGGTGAGGAGGTCCATGGCAGGCAGAAGAGAGCTGGGTAGAGGGAGTCACACTGAGGGCATGGAGAGGATGGAGAGGAGTCTGCAGTGAGGCCCTGCTGGAGAGAGTCTGTGAAAGCCAGACACTAACACTCACAGTTTGCCATGATAAGCTTGCACTGTTGCTCTTTGGGGCTTGCATTTCTGTGTTTTATTAGAATGGATCTCGGGGTGCAGATTGCAGTTTATCTTCCTGAGGTAGGAGCACAGTGTTGTACTTGAGATTACTTTTATAAATTCCGATTAGCCTTTACAAAAAGCTTTTTCAGAGACAGGTAGACAATGCATGCCTACAGTCTCAGCACTGCGGAGATGGACACAAGAGGATCAGGATCAGGGCC